CCCCAAAACCCCAAAACCCCAAAACCCCAAAACCCCTGATGGGAAGAAGAAAATTGATGAAAAAATATTCTAAAATCTAATTTAATAGTATTTTCAAAAAGAACAAATTCACTTAAAATCGTTTTTGATTCGAGAAATTATCAACCAAGATGTTAGAAAAATCTTAAATATAGCTATTAGAAGTTAAAAATCTACGAGTTCTCTTACATATGTTCGGAGAGCTCAATGTCAGCTTCTGGGTCCTTCCTCCTTGTTAGAGTAGAGTTAGCAGCTTTGGTTTTAGAGCCATAAATAGAAAGAACTATTCCAAGGCTCAGAATGGTGACTCCAATAAAAGTTTGAAGCCCAGGAATCTCGTCTTGACCTAAGAAGATTGCTGTGATCTCAGCAAAGTATGGCTCTGTCAAGTAGAACACAGCTACAATGTCAAGAGTCCAATATTTGTATGCCTCTAGCAATGAGTAGTTTGTCAGGATGCTTGTCCAAGGGCACACAAAGCCGAGCATCATAAGTATCAGCCACGGATCTGAGAGCCAGCCGAAGAGTCCATATTCTGGATCCATACTAAACAAGAGAGGGTTTTCTTCAATGTGAGGAAAGAGTAGCATTTGCAAGATAAAGTGGCCAAAGAATAGATAGAACATGCACACCTCCCGTGGACTATCTCTCTTCATCTTTGTCGATATAATTCCGTAGAGAGCTCCTCCAAGTGCTCCTGAGAGAGCAATTATGTTTCCTAATGACTTATTCATCCCTTCTTCAGTTTTAGTGGCATTAGGATCACTGAGCATTATAGTTACACCTACACCGTAGATGATATAGCCAACGATTTCATATTTGTGGACATATTGGCATGTCAAAAGAGCAATCAGTAAAATAAAAACACCATTACTGCAAAAGAGTACATCTGCGTGAGCTGTAAGGGTGTATTTGCATCCAAGCACAAGACCGAATACCCAAACAAATAGGAAGAACGACATGAAGCCTGTACTGACCAAGTTCCTAGGTGATGAATCCTTTTTGATCTTCTCCCTAAAAGAAAGATTAATTCTAATAAGCTCTTCTAAACTCTTACCATGTTGTCAATCTCTGACTTTCTGTCGCGTCAAAACTTCTGTTAATCTTCTGTTTGCTATATCTGATGTAGCTGACGATGGACCAAACTGCCATGATCAAGCAGGAGCCCTGAGATCTCCATGAAATAGAGGCATAAGTACTTTTGGCTGGCACCATTAGCACCACAGGCCCAATAGTAGCTGAACTCAGAATACAAACCACAAGCCAAAATGCACCGATGGCAAAGTCTTTCTTGGACCTGAAGGCTAGATTCAGATTTTCTGAGCGATCGTCAGAATTCACCAAAGTATCATCAGGATGAAGCCTTGCTCTAGAGACGTTGCACGAAACATCCAGCATCTCATGGTTTGATAAGAAGCGAGAATTAGAATACAAAGAATCTAAATGTCAATTTACATGAATTACCTTGAAAGCTGTATGAATGATTTAAATTCATTATTTTTAATTTTAATAGTTATCAACCTTGCCACATCTTTATGGGGTTTTGGGGTTTTGGGGTTTTGGGGTTTTGGGG